AAAAAAAAAAAAAAAAAACTAATTTTAACGATTGGATAAGTTGATATGATATGCCAAATTATTTAAACAAAAATACATATTTACATCATATTCCTTATAAAATTTTGAATACTTGTTAAAAATTAGCATGATAAAATAAATAAGCTTGACTAAACATCAATTGTAAAAATATAACTGTCATAAATTATATTTCACATGATTTTTCGATTTAAATCATAAATTTTGATTGGTACATGGAATACCTACAAATATTTATTATAAAAATATAAGTGTCATAAATTATACTATTTCACATGATTTTTCGATTTAAAATAATAAATTTTGATTGGTACATGGAATACCTACGAATATTTATTATAATGTGGTGGACCATATGGAGCATTTTGTCAAATGCTAGATCCGCAATGAATGCGTCACAGTTTTTGTATGTACCCACTTATTAAATTTGTAACAGTGTATGGTTTTCTTAAAAGTACGCACCCGTGCAATGCACGGGACATAGATATTAAATTAGTTATCTCACAGTCTTTTCAGTTTAAGTTTAAAAGTAATAGAGTTAATATTTATTTTCTACCTCTTTTAATCAACATTAAATTAAAAAAAAAAACAATAGAGTTATAATTTTTTTTCCATATTTTTTAACAGCGTTGTTTTTTTAGCCAGAACATTAAATATGAGCATATTGGGACTAGCTTGTAAAATAATTAATATATTATCTCACTAAAACATGTATACTAATAAAAATTTAACTTTAGCATATAAATTTATCCATTGATATAAGAGAACGTAACAATTTTACTTATTTGGTTCACCATATAATATTTAATTACTATTTTATTATATAATAAAAAAGAATACTACTAAATAGTGTAGTAGAATTGTTATAAAATTATATGATTTTTTTTTTTTTACAATATGGATTTAATATCTTTTTATGATTTGATAATATAACTATAATATACTCTTAATGATATAATGGTTTACATAGTATAGCTAGAATGCTCGCAATAGAAAAAAATACTATTAGATGCAGCCAACATTCTGCTATAAAATAAGGTTTTCTCGTTATGATGAGATTATTTATCCATCATGTTCTTCCACACATCTATTAGATGAAAAATTTAGATGCAGCCATCATTATACTATAAGATAAAATTTTCATCGGAGCGTGATGCATGTCACATGTCATTTAAACTTTTAAATTTTTTGTTTTTTTTAGTTTGTTACTTTTAATTATCACAAATTTAACCGTGTGAATTGATTTACAACATACTCTACGTTTAATTTTACAACATACTCTATATTCAATTAAGACTGATTTTTATTTGCTAATGATTTATAAAGTTTGATTATTAATTTGACCAAACATTTTGCTTATTGATTTATAAAGTTTGATTATTATTTTGACCAAACAGGAAAGATGAACTTGTTGGATCAATCTCGTTAATCTAAACAAACATAAAAGTTTTTCATATTATTTTAGTCTTTATCAGCTTTTAACGTTTTATCACTGTAGGAAACATTTTCATGATTTTTTTTATTTATTCCACAATTCGTTGATTCATTGTATTGAAAATGTGTTATGAGATAAAACAATTAAATAAAATAATTTAATAAAATACTTGATGGAAATAGAATGCATTAATTACCTTTGAATTTTCTTACTACTAATTCTAGTAAATAGGATGACTTTTTATATAAGTATAGATAATAACTAGTACAACACCGTGTATTACACGGGTGCTTATTAAAAAATTATTTAAAATTTTATTTATTTTCTTGCAAAAAAATATATATTATTATATAGTTTAGAATGACACTTGTTATTTGTGCGACTTACATGTGTTATATTATAGTAATTTTTATATTTTATATCGTATAACTACTTGAAATATATATATATATACATATATTAATTGACAAATAATTTTATTTTTCTAATTAATATTAAAAAATATTATTGTTATAAGGATAAATATAATTTATTTATTTATACACACAATATAGATGTTAAATCGAAACTCATCAAAAGATAATTAATTTGATATATTATATATATGTAAAACTCATGAAAAATACAAAAGTTATTAACTTTCAAAATACATTTTGCAATTCAATAGTTATAATCCTCCCTATATATAATTTTCGAATGCACTTAGCCTACGTGGCTGTTTCTGGTGCTTCGAAATCCTATTTGGAGAAGAATCATGCTTCGTAATTAGGTTTGGACAAATAATATTGATATGTTAATAATTAATAATTTAGGTTCGGACATTCCATAAATATTATTTAACTAACTTAGGTATTT